AGGTAGTGGCACGAGACCTATAGAGAAAAACCTCTCAAAAAAAAAAAAATGACTACTTAGCCTAGTGGGGCAGGGGCACTGTACACTCCCACGGTGACTATGTGGGTAAATGGAGAAGGTCTGTCGTCTGTTTAGGGACCTATGCCTACTTATGCCTCCCAGTCCTGTACCCAGTCCTGTATCCATCTTTTTATTATTTTTGAATGTACCTAAAAAAATAACAACAACAACAAAACACTAAGGTTGTAGAGTGACAAAATTATTTTAACCTTAAGGCCTTAGGTGGGATGGCTTCAACGGACATGGCTCCTTGGGAGCCGAACGCGTGTGCTGCCTGGGAGCCGAACGCGTGTGCTGCCTGTTTAACTACAGCTCAGTGGGACCCCCCCGAGTGCCAGTGCTCGGCCATGCTTCCCAGACGCACCCGTCCCTGATGAGGATGAGGCACCTGCGTGTGGGGATCTCACCTGAGTGGCTTATTCCAATGACACCTGAGGAGGTGGGTTTGCATGCAGGCAACCTCAGGTGACTTCATTTAGATTGCCAGCACCTACTCTATCGGAAAACTGAGTTCATTCTTGAGAAAACAACTTGCTGCCTGGGAGTCGAACGCGTGTGCTGCCTGGGAGCCGAACGCGTGTGCTGCCTGGGAGCCGAACGCGTGTGCTGCCTGTTTAACTACAGCTCAGTGGGACCCCCCCGAGTGCCAGTGCTCGGCCATGCTTCCCAGACGCACCCGTCCCTGATGAGGATGAGGCACCTGCGTGTGGGGATCTCACCTGAGTGGCTTATTCCAATGACACCTGAGGAGGTGGGTTTGCATGCAGGCAACCTCAGGTGACTTCATTTAGATTGCCAGCACCTACTCTATCGGAAAACTGAGTTCATTCTTGAGAAAACAACTCATCAAAGAGCTTGTATCACAGGTCCACAGACTTCTTTTCTCTTTCCAATTTCTTCGGTGTGACTTATGCCAACAATGGAGGTTCCCCACCTCCCCCCAAAGTATTGCATGAAGGCTGTGGATTTGGAACAGGCAAATCCTGGATGCGAAAGCTTTCATGTATCTACCTCATTTATTTTTTTATTTTTGTAGCCATCATCTCTCTTTTGCTACTTTAAGACTGCTGGAGTATTCCCGGGTCCCATCTGAAAGAGTTGATGCTTGGGTGGGAACAGCTGGATGTTCAGGATGATTTTGTGATGTCTTTTCTTGTTTCTCTTTGTATCCATCATAATATTGAGCAAACAATGCAACACTGCTCTAAGGGTTTAACAAGGAAAGAGGAAGAAAGAGGCTGACTTCTGGATGGAGAAGTCTTTCTTTACGGGGAAGGCCCTTATTGAAATGTCTGTCAATGTTACCCAAAGTTCCATCTTTAGCTCTTGTACCTCACTTGAGGATCCAAAAATGTGTTCTGCTGAGTTGTGCCTTTCCTTCTGGAATTGCAAATGGACGCAGTAACAGTCGCTGTTTACATCATGAAGCCGAGAAGTGTAAGTGGACACTGTAGCGGTAACTGTTTATGCAGATGGGATGCTGTCACAGAGAACACACCTGTGGCCTTCTTGACCTGATGACCCCTTGGTGTATGCTCTGCAGAGAAACGCCTGTGGTCGTGCCTGCCGATGCTGTCTGTTGGAAAATAAGTTTGGAATGTTTTTTTTTTTTTTTTTTCCCAAAAAAGAACAACAACAAAAAAGGTTCACGCAGTGCTTCCCACAGTGTGGTCTGCGGGTGAGTGCTGGTCTGTGAGCTATTCCTCATCCGAAGTGGAGCACGTGCAGAAATTGGGACAGTCTGGAAATTTCCAAGCAACTGGACAGCACAGTTGTATTTTATTTTTAATCTTTAAAAATGTACTTATTTCTTCAGAGAAACTGCAGGAAAGAGAGAGATGGAGAAACAGTGTCTTCAACAGGGTCTTCACATCACAACCCAGCCCCAGCCTCCACAGCCAGGATGCCGGGCATGCACACAGCGGCACGTACAGGGTGACCTCAGGGCGTGAACCCAGGCCCTTCCCACGTGGCTTCAGCCTTGCTGTGCATCGTGTGGGCACTCCACCACTGTGGCCGGCTGACGGAGAAATTTTATGTTCTCTGAGTCCAATAATAAGATATGGGTGCTTATGTTTTGTACATCTTTTATTTAACAAATGTATTGATCTGAGATAGATTAAAAAAAATAAAAGTAAGAAGAAATTGGTCTATCACCATTGGGGAGTGTGAGAAGCACTCGCTTAGATGGGGGAGGACAAACTCTTTGGGAACAAGCCTGGAGGTGCTCTGTTGTAATGACCCGGCCCTGACGGTGCAGCACAGAAACAACGTGGGTAATATGATAGTCCAAAGAGCATAGGGCTGTTACAATAAAACTTTATTTATTGCCACTAAAATTTGATTTTCATATCATTTTAATTTATCACAAAATATCTTTTTTGGGGGAGAGATTTTTTGCTGTGTTCGCTGGAGAGACAGAGAGAGGTGGAGAGACAGAAAGCGAGAAATCACCTCTCCGAGGGGGTGTCCCTTCTCCTCCATTCTCCTCTCGGGACCTTGGGCACGTATGCACACGCACCTGGTGTGAGTTTCAAGCCTCTGGGTCCAGGACTTGAACCATGGTTGACCACATGGGAGTCCAGCAATGTAACCATTATGCCATCTGCTGGTCCCTCCAATATCTTCTTTTGATTCTTTTCTGAACCATTTAAAAATGTAAAACCCATTCTTAGTCTGCATGACGTACAAGAGTAGGCAATGGATAGACCGGCCTGCAGGCCATGGTTTGCCAACCAGTATATTAGACGACATCGTCTGTGAGAAGGAATGTCTTAGAGAAAGGAATGGTTAGGGGCCAGCAGGTGGCTTTGTGATTAAGGCTGCTGGATTCCCACATGGCTAACCACAGTTCGAGTCTCAGGTCCGATGACTTAAAAATCTCAACAGGCGTGTGCATGTGAGTGCCCCAAATCCCGAGAGGAGAATGGAGGAGAAGGGATTGTGGCATGGCCATCCCCCCGGGGGGTAATTTCTCACCTTCCTGCTCTCTGTCTCTGTCCCTGTCTAGGGAGCACACATGTTCTATGGTAAAAACCTAAACAAAGGAGAGAGAAAGGGATGATTGGAATGTGTGTGTGTGTTTGACAATGCTAATTTTCTTTTCAGAAAAAAATATATTCTTGGGCTAAATAAAATCAAAGTGACAAAGTTATATATTGAGAAGTCTCCCTTTCACTCCATCTGTGCCCACCTCCTTTTTTGCCAGCCTGCTCCCTAGAGGTAACCGTTTTGTGAATTTCTTGTATGTTCTTTTAGTGCTCATGAGAGTCACATAGGCATCTTCCTCCTTAAACGTGGCATACTGCTTATTCTGCTCTACCCATTGATTCTCCCCACCCCGCCCCTTGCTTGGGAGATCTTCCTGCACTGGAACAGAAACAGCTTCTGTCATTAAATGGGTGCTTGCTAGCTCCCCTCCTTCCATCCAGGGCTCCGGGGCCAGTCAGACATGCCCAGGCTTTGGGCATCTCACTCTGGGTAGGCAGAGAGGGGCCCTTTTAAAACGTAATCCTCTCTACCTGGACACTCGGTTAATTCCAGCCCAATTTGGAACAATGTTGTAATGAACAAACTTGCATGTACGTCACTGTGTGTGTGTGTGTGTGTGTGTGTGTGCGCGCGCGTGTGTGCATGCACATGCATAATGGAAGGGAACACGACTGGAGTTAGCGCCAGCCAGTGAAGCATCATGGAGCAGAATTAGAACAGGCTGTCTTTCTGGGAAGACACATTACAGAAAGCTGCCTCCTTTGGGTGAATGCAGAACTGGCTGGAGGGCACGGGTTCAAGTTCAGCTCCCGCCTGTGCTGCCTACGTAGCGGGTCTTTGTGAAGGGGCCCACGCGCAGCAGCCCAGGCGGTGATTATTAGAGAGACAGGAGAGCTGCAGCTGGCCAGGCGGGGATTTCTAGCAGAACCTGGATGGTGGGAGGAGGGCTAGCATCCAGAGCAAAATGGAAAAGTAGGACCCACTGTTTAAAGATGATTTAGGGGGCCAGCAAATGGTATGTGGTTAAGGTGCTGGACATTCCCACATGGTTGACCACGGTTTGAATCCCAGACCTGGTGGCTTGCTTTCTCACTTTCCCCCTCTCAATCTGGTCAAAATAAAAAACAAATGAATGAAAAATAAAATTAAATAATTCTATAATAAAATATTTGATTTTTTTTTTAAAAAGATGATTAAGAATTTCCAGATGGCCACAGCAGAGCATCAAACCAGGCGTGGCACCCTTCTGAAAGAGGGTTCCAAGCGACACTTGGGTGCACACCCAGGCAGCTGGCCCTGCGTGAGAGGGGCCGTACCCCTGGGTCCAGCTGCTGCCAGCATTTCGCTGACTCACTTTCCCCTGCCGGAATGGCAACACGGGAAACATTCCACACAGCAGATGGGGACCTCAGCTCCCCAAAGCAGCCAGGCCAGCCTTCGTGTTCCCCCCGACGGCCAGTAGGAGCTGCTGTGGCCCAGGGAGGGAGGGAGGGTCCTAGGTCTCACTTTTCGAGGTGTAGCACACCGGAACTAGTGCTTCACGCTCGCTATCGTATTCATTCTCAAGCCCATGCAGGAGGCTAGAAAGGTAGGACAGGGCTTTGACGCAGTCGGTCTGAGTTCCGATGTCTCGTCTTGTGCCAGTCTGTCCTCACACCACCAGCAAATAGGACAGAACGAATGCACTGTCACCAACGCAAGGTCGCGTGGCTTACTGATCAGTCGCTTTATTTAGAAAAGACCCCCGGGTGTAGCTGGTACTGATAAGGACGTTGCCCTTGGAGGAGGGAGGCGTTGCCCTTGCCAGTGGAGTGGGGAAGATCACCCCCTTCCCTAGGACGCAGGGGAAAGAGGCCAGTCAGAAATGCCCCGGCTTTGGGCGTCTCACTCTGGGGAGGGAGAGAAGGGCTCTTGCCTAGACTAGGCTGGCGGAGGGTGTGGTTCATCTCCAGGAACTTGACTAGGGTAGGGGGTGTAGAAAAGCTGCCTGGCATCGGGAGGCAGGGCTCCAGGGAAGAGAGGGCTGTCAGCACCGGGGGGTGCTCCCTCTGCACAGCTTGTTGGGGAAGTACCGGTACTTGAGACTATAGCTCTTCTTGTTTTTAGCAAAACAGTAGGCGGCGGCTTTATCACATTCACACAGCTGGGTCTTACAGGAGCCTTGCTTTGCTGAAATCACAAGAAAACAAACATGAGATGGGGATTTGTTCATAGTCTCTGGCTTTGGGACCAGCAGATGGCGTGATGGCTATGTCGCTGGACTCCCACATAGTTGACTGCAGTTTGAGTCCCAGACCCACTGATTTAAACTCACGCTGGGTGCATGTGAATGTACGCCCAAGATCCTGAGAGAAAAATGGAGGAGAAGGGATTGTGGTGTGGCCATCACCCCGGGGCGTGATTTCTCACTTTCTGTCTCTGTCTCTCTCTGGTGAGTGCGTGCACGCTAGAGCAAAAATCTCTCTTAAAAACAAAACAAAACAAAAAATTCTCCTTTTCACTCCTCCCTCCCTCTGTCTCTTTCTCTGGTCAGCACAGGCATCCTATAGCAAAAATCTAAAAAAAAAGAAATCTCAGGCTTTGGGGCTTTGGGAGGGAGTCCATGGTCTTTCTTCTGGACCTGTTACCCGAGGACATACAGAAACCCTTCCAGCTACCACGCATGTCTCTCCTTTTCGGAGCCAAACTTTCTCCATACAGCCTCTAATTCACTTCCCACGCCCCACCCTGACCTCTGTCTGTGGTCATCATCCTCACGGTACCATCCGCACAGTCACACCCACCGTCACCTGCCTACCTGCTCCTCCTTGGGCAGCCTCCGAGCTAATCAGACTTTGCTTAACTTGATTCGTTCCCTAGCCCTTCCGTCCCACCCGGTTGTGTTACGTCAAGCTGTTGCCACCCCTTCTCTGCTCTGAGGCCACGCCTTCTCACAGGTCCCCGTTCCATCCAGCCTGAAGCCAGAGCGAGTCCTCTGCATGGGAATCGATCGTGTCACTCCCCCACGTACTAGCTCTCCATTGCTTTAGAAAGAAACCTGGATATAGCATGGCCTAGAAGGTTTGGCTTCATCTACCCCTCGGTGTGTCTCCACTCCTGTCTTCCTTGTGTTTTCATTCAGCAGCACAGAGTTGCTAACAGGCACCCTGGGTCTCTTACACCATGCTGAATCCTCTCCTGGGATGGCTCTCGCTTTTACTGGACTCTGCATAGCCTTAGACACTCAGCCTAGCTGGTGCCACGCCCAGAGCCTTCCATGAGCTTGTGTTCCTGGCCTGCCTTTCTGCCTGCGTCCTACCGCAGCCTGTCCCACGTTGCTCTTGCATTTCCCTTGCTCACCGCTTGGCTGCCAGCTCGGAGGCAGGGACAGCGTCCCGTGTGTCTCTATCTCTGGTGCCTGCACAGTGCCTGGCACTGTCGAAGTAAGCGAGGAGAAGGCCACGGCGAGGTCAGACTCTCTTACCGCATTTGATCGCGCCCTTGCTGTAGCTAAACTTGTAGCTCAGAAACTTGGTGCCACATCCGCGTTTCACCAGACGCTTGTAGCAGCAGTCATGGGCAGCACAGCACCTGCAGGAGGACACCTGTTGGGGCTGCCTTCCCACAGCGCCAGGGGCTGGGCGCCCCACCCTCTCATCCCGGACTCTGGGCAGAGACCCAGTGATTTTGGAATCATCTAGACCAGAGTTTTCAACTGCTAGATTCTTTCCCATCAGGGTCCTCCTGGAATTTCTGTTGGTGGCTCACTACCCTGTGGCTCCCAGCCCTGCTAGGGCCAAAAGTGAGCTCAGGGCAGGGAGGGCTGGGGAGGCCTCACCGATCAGTTGCGTCTTTGGGGGTTCCTTTGCCACCCGCGCCGCAGTGACAACCATAGAAGCCATAACTGCTCGCAGCTTCCTTTCCTGTCTTCAACCGGATCATGTTCCAGAAGTTTGTCAAGTCCCCGTGGACCTGCAGCAAGCCTGGAAGGAAGTGGTCTGGCAATGGGGGCTGGGAGCCTATGTCCTCCCTCTCTGCCTCTCTCTGCTACTCCTCTCTCTGTCCCCCCACATGGCGTCTCCCCTCCTGCTGAGAGGGAGGGGGAGCTGGAGGTGGGATGCTCCCCTCTGGGCCGCCTGCCTGTGCACAGGTCAAGGTCAGCTCTTACCAAAGGCCATGATCACCGCCAGCAGCAGGAGGGTCTTCATGTCGAGAGGGCTGTGTGAGACAAGTGCCAACGGATTGCCTCGACGCTGCTCATGGGTGATGCCAGCTTCTGCCCTGCCCACCTCCTCCCACCCCACTCGAGCACCCTGGAGCACACAGGCGTGCCCTTCTATTCCAGCAAAGTCCAGGGCGACTGCCTCTGTCACACACAGCACACAGGGGTGACCTCTACAATGCACACACCCCACCCCACCCCCGATCCTTCCCAGCTGTGGAAGAGTTTCACACACACACACAAGCCCCCAGACCCATCAAGACCCCCTGCAGGATGTGCCAGCAAGACCTCCAAGCACCCCTGCAGACTGAGAGCTCCTGGAAGTTTGCACCCAGGCTGCCCCAACACTGAGAGCTTCCAAGGTCAGAGCTTGTGTCCCACTGGACATCTACTGCATGTCCCTGCCCAGGATTTAAGGCTTGGGAAATCCATCCTGGAGATGATCCCCAATATTTTTCTCTAGAACTAAAGCAGCACCTCCCTCTACGAGACTTTCCCACCCACTCCACAAGTACATGTGCACAGACATATGCATCCATGTGTGTACACACGTGTGCCCATGTACACTTACTCTTCAACTCAGCAGTGCAAATGGCCTTTCCTACAACACACTCACGTGCCCACAAATGCACTAGCGCATGTACCCTCTCTGCACACACCTCGCCATGCACAGCAGGCCGATGCACACAAATGCCTACATACACATGCATGCACACAGGTACACATGCATGCACACACATGCCTAACACAGCCACTCTCGAAGGCAGCGAAAAGCTGGAATGTTTATACCCTGCACAGGGCAT